TAGCGTGATAAACACAGAATTAAACCTACTAGCTAGCTCGACTGTTTCAATCATACGGATGTACAATAATCGACTTGACTCCATGGATAAGTGCTCTGCCTTGTTGCAATCCAAGGAATGGTTTTGCGATTAACAAGTCTGCTCCTGCAGATTCTTTTGTTTATCCAATGGTGGCATCTTGGACGTAAGAAGAAGGGACGAGTAATTGTTGTCCATCAAAGGAGTACGTAATTTCGGGTTTCGATGGGGCTTTAGCCCTTTGTTACCGTGGCTGGAGAAACTCTAGATTTTTGGATGCTATTGATGTAACCCTTGTGTTGGTCCTTTGTATTATTGAATTATGAATGCAATTTCCATATTTTCTTAATGTCACTTTCAGTATTTATCTTGACAAGAACATGAATGGTAATTATAATTGGCGATGCCTTATCATGTGGGACAAGACAAATTTGGCCTTAATAGCTTGACTTCAACTGAGAACAATTGGCTGATACGCGACGCCAACAAGTAACAACAACTAGAGATGTTTACTTGTCGCCTAACTAATGGTAGACTCTTGTAGGCTAGCTAGAGATGTTTACTTGCAAACGACTCATATGACTTCTAAGTTTTCAAGTGATCGAGATCGGCATTTTATTGGCTTCATCGTCTCCTTATTTGGTTTTCTTTTTCATTTCTTTTTTGTCACCACTCAATGACTCGTCACCCATCCCCATATTTTTCTGGGTTTGTTTTGTGAAGAATAATACTTGTGTTCTCTTTTTTGGGATGAGATTATTTTCCCACTTACAAATGGATAAATATTATAATTGGAATCTTTCAATTTCTTAATCTTCATTTACAAAACATCTCCACAAAAAATTTTCAAATGAAGACTAAGAAATTGAACGATTCTGGTTATGAAATTTCTGCAGTGAAAGATACTTTATTTGTAAGTGGGAGAATGAGCTATCTCTCAAGTGGGGGACATAAGTGTTGCCATAAAGTTTTTTGTGATGGAAATATTGGTGATTCGGATGCTACTTCTCCTACAACAAATCACATAAAATTAATATTCGTATATCACAATTTTATCACCACAAGTTATTAAATATAATAAACCAAATATGATAAAATACTTATCTCTTGTAGGTAGAGAACTCTCTTCATCGATCACTAATTCGAACAAGATTTTAGGTTGAGGCATGTAAATTTATTGTCCTTAAGAGTTGATTTTGCCCATTTAAGACAATGTCTTGGTGTAATAGGTTATAGCATCCTACCCTCCATCATACAACAACCTATGATCCTTGTAAGTATACACACGCAATACTTGGATCGAGTAAACAACTCGAAGGATATCACTTTGAAGAGTGATGATTCAATAATGGATAAAAGGATGGCTTCAGCGGTGTTTTTTTTTTTTTTTTTTTTTATTATTTTTTTATTTTTATTGGGAAAGGAATAGATGAGAATATATTTATATGAAAACAAAATGGTCTAAAACGTTAGACTATATAATTACCCAATTAATGGGTACATCAAGATGGCACTTTCACAATGTATAACTCCTTCATTTAGCTCTCAATTATAATATGAATGAAATGAGTTGGCTAGCTAGAAATAAGACTATAAGTGAGTGATGAAACGACCATGCAATAATATCAAATAAAAAACAATAATATGGCATAGTGAATGGGAGGAAAAGAAACAGTTGCAATGAATTTGTATTTTGAAATGCTCAACAAAATTCCAACATTTTGGATAATATTTGTGTTCGACCCATTGAAGAACTTACTTGTCCCTCATTTACGATTAACGTATCTTCACGTCTTCATCGTACAAACATCATATTCAGAACCATTCATTCTCTTTATCATAATCATATATGCAAAAAGTCCTTCAATTCAAAGATCCTTTAATCATTCATTCATGGCAAACCAATTAACGATTTTGGTAACAAGTAACATCCTCATAATGAACTATTTATTATTTATTTTATGCATATGAATAGTTAAAAGATCTTCGAATTGAATGATGTTTTGTATGTATGATTTTTTGATGATAATAAAGAGAATAAACGGTGTAGGATTATGATGTTTGTATAGTAAAGATACGTTAATAGTAAGTGGGAAGACAAGTAGGTTTCTTTATGACAAAACACAAGCATTTCCAACTTTTATTATAATCAGAAACTAAATTTTTCATTAAATTTAAGATATGTATGAGGAAGGTGTGGCTCGATCTAAGCATGGTCTATTTCTATTACAAAGGAAATATTTAGTAGACTTGTAAAATAAAAAAAACTAAAATCCTCGATTGCAAGCCTGCAAATGTTCCAATTCTGTAGATTAATAAACATATAGGAGAATATCCCGATCACGTTCCAACAAACAAAGAGCGGTACTATAAGTTGGAGGGTAGTTAATTTACTTTGTCACACACATGACCTGACATTGCACATGAAATGTGAGTGTGGTGAGCATGTTGAGCATGCTCCTAGTGAAGATCAGATAAATGTCCTAATTTGAATTCTTCGACACTTGAAGGCAACTCCAAATGCAAGGGTTTATGTTCACGAAACATAATCATTTTCTTGAAATTAGGGACGTTTGTATCATATCTCAAAATTAAAATTTGTTTACTCAGATAGATGTTAGCATGATAAACATGGAATTAAACCCACTAGCTAACTCGACTGATTCATTTATACAGATGTACAATAATCGACTTGACTATATTGATGAGTGCTCTGCGATGTTGCAATCCAAGGAATGGTTTGCGATTAACAAGTCTACTTCTGTAGATCCTTTTGCTTATCCAAGTGAGAATCTAAAGGTAAAAGAGCCCCGTATTGGTGAAAGAGAAACCTTGCAAGGCCTATAAGAGGTTGGGCTACTCCTCATATTGCCAATTAGTTTTATGAAGGAACCTCAACTTTCTTCATGGTATCAGAGCAGGTTGGCCCAATAGCCACACGTGCTCCACATCACCCAATTCTTGTTGGCCACGTGTTTGGCTTGAAAATTTGTCACACGTGAAGGGGCGTATGAGAATGTGAAGATAAAAGAGTTCCGCATTGATGAAAGAAAACCTTGCAAGGGCTTAAAAAAATTGGATCACTTCTCATATTGTCAATTAGTTTTATCATATGGTGGAACATTAACTTTCTTCAATCCAAAAGTTGCGTCTTGGATGCAAGAAGGAGATGGGACGAGTAATTGTTGTTCATCAAAGGAGAACGTAATTTCGGGTTTCAATGCTATTGATGCAACCCTTGTGTTGCCCATTTGTTACTATGGCCGGAGGAACTCAAGATTTTTAAAGATGCTATTGATGTAACCCTTGTGTTGGTCTTTTGTATTACTGAATTATAAATGCAATTTCTATTTTTTCTTAATGTCTTTTTTAGTATTTATCATGATAAGAACATGAGTGGTAATTACTAATTAACAATGCCTTATCACGTGGGACAAGGCAAATTTGGCCTTAATAGCTTGACTTCAATTGAGACAATTGCCTGATACCCAATGCCAATAACTAGCAACAACATTAATGGTAGACTTGTAGGTTAGCTAGAGATGTTTACCTGCAAACGACTCATATGACTTCCAAGTCTTCGAGTGATCGAGATCGGCATTTTATTGACTTCATCGTCTCCTTGTTTGGTTTTCTTTTTCATTTCTTTTTTGTCACCACTCAATGACTCATCACTCATCCCCATATTTTTTTTTTTACATATGTTTTGTGAAGAATAATACTTTTGCTTGCTTTTTGGAATGAGCTTATTTCTCCACTTACAAATAGTGAATTTTTATAGTATAAATTTTATAAATGGAACATTTCAATTTTTTAATCTTTATTTTAAAATCATCTCCATAAGAAAATCATTTGAATCAGAGGTCGTTTAGATCCAAATGTATCAAACAAATTAACGGTATAAGTACCAACTAACATATTTATGATAAAATGTTTATTTATTTGTTATATTTAGGTGAATAAACAATATCTAATTCGAATGATATTATAGGGATGATTTTCAAATGAAGATTAAGAAATTGAACGATTTTGATTATGAAATTTCTACGGTTAAGATGCTGTATTTGTAGGAGTGTGATATCCACACACCCCATTTTACTTCTCACACACCTTTTTAATTTTCGACCGTCGGATCGGATGAATTGAAGAAGATCAACGGACATAAATTATCAAGGGTGTGTGAGAAGTAAAATGGGCTGTGTGGATAGCACACCCCTATTTGTAAGTGGGAGAATGAGCTCATCTCCCAAGGAGTACAAGTATTATCACACACCTTTTTGGATAATGCTTGTCCCCTCACTTACGATTAACGTATCTTCATTGTACGAACATCATATCGAAACTGTTTATCCTCTTTATCATAATCATATCTGCAAAAATCCTTCAATTCAGAGATCTTTTAGTCATTCATTCATGAAAGCCAATCAACGTTTATAGTAACAAGTAGCATATTCATAATGAATTGTTTATTTGTTTTATGTATATGAATGGTTAAAAAATCACTACGAAAAATCATAAGTGTACCAAAAAATCACTACGAAAATATTTTCTTATATAAGATACTTACCATAATGAGGAGAAATTATAGAGTGGTATTGTATCACCATGTCAGTTGTGATACTTCCACTCAAAATTTGCCATGTATACAACTTATTTACAGTTGGAATAAATATTTATTTTATACTTACAAAATAAAATTTTCAAAAAAAAACAAAGAAAAAAGAAAATAATTCTGCAGCCATCGCTGCCGTTGTCGACTTTCCCTTTCTTCTCCGACCTCTTTCTCTCTCTACAACTCTCTATCAAATATCAGGGTCGAAGGGAATAATGATAACTTTCAATAGATGAGAACCCTATTGATGATTTTGTGGATTTTGGTGCTGCATTTCGCAATCTGGCAATGAATTGGAAGGGCATGACCCTTTTTTCTAATTACCTGTCTAAACTAATGGTTATTTGTAATTGTAATTTATCGGGTAAAGAACTTGTTGAAGTCTGGGGAAGAGATCAAAAGGGGCGGCAGCCTCAGAGCAAGGGGTGGAATTCTGGAGAACTGCACTGGGAATACGTAGGAATGGAGGTGGTTATGGGTATTTTATTTTCTTCAAGTTTTTATTTATTTTTTAAATTTCATTTTTTATGTTAAAATAAGCTTTAATCCCAGCTGTATAACAATTGTACATGTGTCAACTTTTAAGTGGAAGTATCATGTGCTGATGTGGTAGTACGGTACTACTTAATAATTTCTCCATAATGAGAATTAAAAATTATAAATAAAACAGAGAAACATTAAATACATATGCTGACATTAAATAAAATCTAAGGACTAAAATCAAATTTTAATCTTGTATAAGATATTTTTCTAAACTTTATCTTATTTAAGGATTAAAATCTAATTTTTTATAAAATTAATCATGTTACATCCTGCAATATATAATTAATATTGTGCGCACCCAAAAATTTGTGTAAGTGCTGAATAGGATATTAGCTAGCTTCGAAAGACTTCCATCGATTCGTCAGCCTGTCACTTTGAATGCATGGTTAACTTTACAAAAACGTTTATGTTGATGATCAGTGGCTTATAATCTGGTTCACAAGACCCCATGCCCATGATTAGTGGAAAAAAAGCTACTCTGTTTGTGAAAGAGATAGTAGCCTCAGTAACATTTTTATTAGTAGGAGTGACAACTAATTGATTGTTATGTGTGCAAAGCTCGAGAAAATAAAACACTAACCTTCAATTAAAAACTAAATTAATTAACATTCGCGTACTACGAATAAATTGTGTGTATACATAGTAAATCCTACTACATGGACGAACTTCAACTTAAGTCATTAACATGAGATAAATAAGTGTAACGATAAATAAATTGAGTTAACGAGTATATACACAGAATTACAACATGTATTAAAAAGATAAATAAGCGTTGAGATAAGTCACATATGCAAACGACGATTTGACTTCAAGTCATCAAGTGATGGCGATCACTTGATTTTATCTACTCAAAGTATTACGTTCGCATTTTTGAAGTTCAAACGAGCGTATAGATAAAACTAAACAATCGAGTTTGCAATTATTACATGCAAACGATGATTGACTTCAAGTCTTCAATTGATCGAGACATAAATTCACCACCCACTCATCGATCGACTCATACTTTTTTTATTTATGCTTTGCATGAGTTGTGTCTATAAAAGGAGTTAACTTCTCCACTCTTAATTATCCGAGAGCCATAAAACAATATTTCCTATAACCAGAAAAACACACTGCCATGAAAATGGAATCTTGGTTGTCTAAGTTTACCTGTTTGCATTGTCTTCTTTTGCTATTACTCAATGCTACTCACTGTTTTTCATTTGTGCAGACTCAGACACGGACACTTTGCCACGCTGACGAGAAATCGTTCTTGTTACAATTCAAGGAAAGCTTTACGATAGACAAGTCAGCTTCTTATTCTCCTTTTGCTTATCCGAAGGTTACATCTTGGGCTCGAGAAGGAGATCATAATCAGAGTAACTGTTGTTCGTGGGATGGTGTTGAGTGCCATGCGGAGTCTGGCCGCGTCATTGGCCTTAACCTCAGGAGCAGCTGTCTCTATGGTTCTATCAAGTCTAACAGCACCCTCTTCCGACTTGTTCACTTGCAGATGCTTGACCTCTCAGATAACAACTTCAATTCGTCTGAAATACCATCAAGATTGGGCCATGACCTTTCGAGTCTATCCTATCTCAACCTTTCATGGTCTGTATTTTCTGGCCAAATTCCATCTGAAATTTCAAAGTTATCCAAACTGTCTACCCTTGTTCTGTCTTACAATAATGGTTTGGAGCTTAGGAAGTCCATCATGAGAATCCTAGTCCAAAACTTGACCAGCATAAAACAACTTCATCTTAGTGATGTCGGCATAAACTCCACTGTGCCTGATATCTTAGTCAATGCATCTTCTCTCACATCTCTCAAACTAAGCTACTGTGGGTTGTATGGGGAATTCCCAGTAGGCATTTTCCACCTACCAAACCTAGAGGAGCTTAGATTATATTCGAACACAGACCTAATTGGTTATTTTCCTACTTTTAACAGGACCAATTCCTTCAAAACATTGGTTGTTTCAAATACAAATTTCTCTGGTGAACTTCCTAGTTCTATTGGAAACCTTAATTCCTTAAATTACTTTGATATCTCAGACTGTGGTTTTGATTCCCATGTTCCATCTTCATTCGGAAACCTTACCCAATTAACTTATCTGCAGCTCGGCTTCAACGATTTGCAAGGAGCAGTTCCTAAGTCGCTTTTCCACCTCAGAAATCTTGAATTTCTTGACCTTACTGCTAATAATTTGAGTGGATTAGTTGAGTTTGATGAGTTTTCCAACCTCAAAAAGTTGAAGGAACTTCATTTATCGTACAACAAGTTATCCATGCATGTCAAATCTGGTTTGAGTGCTACTTTTCCAAAGTTCGAAATTCTAAATTTGGCTGAATGCAACTTGACAGAGTTTCCAGAATTTTTGAAAAATCAATACGAATTGGGAGATCTAGACCTTTCTGGTAACAACATTCATGGCCAAATACCAAAATGGCTCTGGAATGTAACTAGAGAAACTTTGGTCAATCTCGACCTCAACTCTAACTTCTTAACAGGCTTTGAGGAGAATCCAGTCACTCTTCCATGGAAAAATCTACAACTGTTTAATCTTGCTCATAATCGGTTACAAGGGTCATTGCCAATTCCACCACAATTTGTCACGGTTTACTTGGTCGACAACAATAATTATAGCGGAGAAGTTTCACCATTGTTCTGCAACTTGAATTATCTTCAAGTTCTTAATTTGGCCAACAACAACCTGAGTGGTATGCTTCCACAGTGTTTGGGGAAGTCCAATAGCTTGGAAATACTGCATTTGATGTTTAATTCTTTCCACGGCGATATTCCTCCATTTTGTGCTAACAAAAATAGTTTGAAATTTGTTGGGTTGGGTTACAATCGGTTACAGGGGATGCTACCAAGATCAATGGCCAATTGCATTCAGTTAGAGTTTCTTCACATTGGCAACAATCAGATCAGTGACATCTTCCCTTCTTGGTTAGGGGTACTTCCAGTATTGAGGGGTCTCATTTTGGGGTCGAATGCATTTCATGGGATAATTGGGAAGCCTCCAACTGATCATGAGTTCCCAAACTTATGCATCATTGATTTATCCAACAATCTATTTTCAGGTATGTTGCCTTCTAAGTACATGGAGAACTGGAATTTCATGAAATATGTTGTCACGAACAAGGGAAGCTGGTACTTTACAGTCTCATCGAACGACAGCACAAATAAATATGGAAATTACTATAAATTTTCATACGAGATGATAATTCCTGTAAAAGGTGTTGAGTTGACATATGATAAGACCCCCTATGATCTGAGACTCATAGATTTCTCAAGTAATAGATTTGAAGGAGAGATTCCAGCAAGTATCATTGGGAGTCTAAGAGCACTTCAGTTGCTAAACCTCTCCAACAACACTCTCTCTGGTCAAATCCCCTCATCTCTGGCGAACTTGACTGCTCTTGAATCATTGGATCTCTCTCAAAACAAGCTCTCAGGAACGATCCCCGGTTGTTTGGCACAACTCACTTTCCTTGAGTACTTCAACGTGTCGTATAACCATCTTTGGGGGCCTATACCACTTGGCCAACAATTTGGTACATTCCTAGAAGATTCATACCAAGGAAACTCAGGTCTGTGTGGAGAGCTTTTGTCCAAGAAATGCGAGGCTTCTGAGAGCTCGAGGCGACCGCCACGATCAAGCTTTGAAGAAGATGAAGAGGCTGGATTTCCATTTGAGTTTGACTGGTATGTAGTCTTGCCGGGAGTTATTAGCGGACTAATAGTGGGAGTGGTTGCTGGAAACACATTGGCAGACAAGAAGCATGAATGGTTTGTGGAGACATTCAGCAGGAGGAGAAAGCCAACAACAGCAAGGGCGACGAGGGGACGCCAAACTTAGCTTGATGTGTCTATCGGCTAGAGAAATGTTTGGGCCTTCAAGGCCAATGTCATGTTTTTTATGATTTCTGGTGCTTCAGCATATGTTGTTATGTTATATTACAATAATGGGGTTCTATAAGTTTGCTTTGTATAATATTTCTACTTGATCAAATTTAGTGTTATCAACTGAGTAGTTGGAATTACATTTCCTATTTCCATTTGCTTATAGGTCAAAACTAGCAAAAGTATCGTGCTCTGCTGTGGGTTTTAAATTTGTAGTTTATAGCAAATATGAATCATTTCCCTAATAAAGAGAGAGTTTGAATAACAAGTACATAATAAGCAATTGATACTCAAAAGCTACCAACACCTTAATTGCATTCATAAACACATATATAACTATACACATAATAGATACTTCTGAAAATTCCATAAAATCACAAATCAACCCATTCATTTCTAAAATAACTCTTTAAGTTACATTACATTTTATTTACTTTGCATTCAAAGCATAAGTGCAATCCAAATGGGAGATTTCTAAGTTACAGTTATATACATTTCCAAAAGTTTCCCACATTGATTAGTTGTTCATTCTGCACCTGCATGACGGTGTTATGATAAAAAATGATAAACAACATACTAAACAGAAGTGATGTTTTAAATCTGGAATGAATGCATACCTGAAGAGCTGATTTCAAATTGGCGATCCCTTTCCCATCCTGGTAACATTTATCAATTGGAATCAATAAAATTTCCTTGATGAGAGCAAAGCTAGGAGTCTCAATTTCAAAATCCAAATCAGAAAATAAAACAAAATTGAATTAACAATGAAGAAAATTTATTCTCCAACAGAAAACTCAGCGCTACACAAAATCATTGAATTGGAATAAAAATAACAAAACCTAACACAATTGAAGCTATTCTCTGAAAATCTTCCGAATCAAATTAATAAAACAAAAATAAAAACTTTAAAAAGTTAGAGATCATAAGAAAGCATATTAAAGCAAGCAAAAAAAAAAGACGGAGACAGAGCATCAACTAACAGCAGATTTCCTCCAGACTTGCTTAAGAAGTTGAGTACAGATCTGTCTTCTAATGCAAAACCATAAAGTGAGTTGTAATCTAAAGGCTCCTACCTTAAAATTAGACGTATTTATCAAATATATCATTTAATAATCCTCACGCATGTAATTATCCTAAATAATCAAATGGGAAACATATATCATAATCTTCGTTTGAGAAAGTCAGTTTGTTTTATGGGGTTTTCACTATTTTCAAAATCAATATCAAATTTTGTAAGGAAGAGAAAAGAATTTACCTCTGGGAAAGTCTGAACGGTTGCGGCGGTTGGTAGAATCGAAGAGATTTTAGCAGATGGGGCGAGGTGGAAGACGGGGAGAGTAGAGGCAAGCAGCGCGTTGAGCATTTTAGCGGTGAGAAAAACGATGTGGGAACTGGGATGTATCTAGAGAAACGGTGGGTTTACAAATTGGAAAGATTTTTTTAATATATCTGGAATACGATCATGTGTTTTTATATAAATTTTAAGATTTTTGTATTAAAAAATTAATAACATAAAAGATAAAAATTTTCACCGTTTATATAATAACATATAGTGTACCAAATTTCCCGATAAATTGAAGAGGCATGCCTTTTTGGCCATCTTACAATGCAGCTAAAAAAATAGCACTGAAAAATGATAATGAAACAGGGGCTTTTTTGTCCCTTCACTGTACTTAGAAACTGTTTATTTTCCTTATTGAGCTTTAGTATAGATAATTTATTACGGCTTTTCACGTGTGAATTCTCTATAAGACCAACTTCAGTTTTTGGACACAAATTCAAATTTTTTTTTTAGTACATCGATATTTTACATTAGGGGAGGGAGAGTTCGGCTATGCCACATAATGAGCAACCTAATTTGGTATCGAATTCACCATCCACAAGATTCGAAGACCTCTCACTTCCAAGTGAAGAGAAATATCAAACCGTAGTACTGAGAGGCCCCAAACTCAAATATTTTAGTTTACTAAAAGACAAAATTTAAGTCTATGAACAGTGAATGTTACTCAACCCTTAAAACCTAAATTTCATGACTTAAAATATATTAACAATTGTGGAATTGCTTTGACCCTATTTTTTTTGGGAAAAGATTTTTTGTAACCTTGGGTTATTTTATCTTAATTTAATTTTACAAATATTTTAACATAAAAAAAAATTTAAAACCGAACAAATCACACCAATCAACCACTTAACCAACCAAAACTTCAATATAGATGATAATTCATAACATAAACTAAAAATTTAAACACTAATTGAAAATATAAATGATAGTTCGTATAAGCTAAAAGTATTCGTCTTGTCCTAAGGATGGGATTGGAAAATAATTTTTTAAAGTTGATCGTCTTAAATTTTTTATTTTATTATTTTAACGTTGAATTTAAATTTCATCCATTGAATCTGCAATCATACTATAGAGTTCATCTATAGTATGATTTCAGAACCAAAACCTTCCTTTAGATGAACTCTATGTGTGCATGTTCCCAATAAAACAGAACGTTTAACCATCTTTCTAATAAAACAAACTCCAATTGCTTGAGCATCTTCAATGAAAGGCCAACTTTATTTTTTCATTCCCCCAATTAAACCGATAAACTCACGCAAGCTGGGTTTGAAACCAACCAAAGCACAGATTCAAACCATTAAGCAAAAACAGCAAGCAATGCAAACCATTAAGCACATATGCAATTTATATATGTAATACCTAATTGCACATATTATGAATGTCCATTGCGTGGTTTAGTTCAAATCCTCCAGCCTCATACACAACTCATAAGAGCCATTTGGAAACCAAAACAAACCCCCCTTGCAATTTAACTCACTAACCCAATTGAATCAAAACAAATTCAATCAGGAAGCAGAAAGTTAAGAACAGCCCAAAAACCAAAAGAAACCCACTTGTAGTTTTAACTCACTAATCCATTGAATCAAAACAAATTCAGTTAGAGAAAAACTAGAGTCCAAAATCATACATATATATTATCTAAATGTAAACCAATTCTTAGCTAATTAACTGAGTATACCAAAGAATCAAATTAAACACAAATTCTTAAAGTTTGGCATCCCAATAATCAAATAAGGAAAAACAACAATGTGTGTACTGCATGTGTGAGCATATGTGCTGCATAAGTGTGTGAGTGTATATTGTATTGCCGAGGAAAAACAACAATATCTTCCAAGCGATAAAAAAAGGTATAAGCGTGTGAGTATATGTTGTATGTGTTGTGTGTGTATAAGTGCATGACAGTGTTTGTGTCACACTGCATGTGTATGTATCTAAAATGTGTAAGTGTAGGTAAGTGTGTGTACACTGTGTGGACAAGTGTATGTGATGTGTGTGAGTGTATATTGTATGCGTATGCAGTGTGCGTGTGCATATCAAAAAAGGTAAGTGTATGCAGCGTGTATAAAAAGTTGCAGTAGGGTAAGGCATATACCAAAATCATTATTGAAGTTAAGAATGATTTCCTAAAGAGATGCAAAATTACAGTAGGGTAAGGCTATACCAAATCACTTAGTCGGAATATACGTTAAACTTTACTCCTCATAAAAAGAGAGAAAAAAAGTATATATAAAGAATGAGGAACACAAACCTATCCAAATAATAAAGATTCCGTAATAGGTAAGAGCTTGCAAAACACCAAAAACTAATAGTTAGAAAAATAAAACATATATCAAGAAGATGAGACGAATTTGTAAGTCGAAAACTCCACCTGTAACAGCTATACTAAAGCATAAACATTCATGAAAACTCATAATCGATAGCTAAACAGCACAAAGTATTTTTGCGGAAATATAAAGATCCCTTTTGTGCCCCAAACCCCCATCTGTCCTCTCTTCGCCTCCCTCCATCTTTACGTGTGATTTTTTTTTTTTTTTTTCCTGATATTGGAATTTTGATCTATGGAGTTTAAGGCTCTGAAATATAGTATGATTTCAGAGCATTTGATAATTTAGTTGTAGGCAAGAAAGTTTAAGGCTCTTTTATTTACATTTCTGTGTAGTAGATCTGGCTTTTATGTGTTTTCTTTGATCCCTATGATAATTTTCAATGCTTATTTCAGGGCTTTACATTCTTAATGGTGTTGAACTAAATGCTTTTACTTACCTTGTTGCTGATTAAAGTTGGTTTCAAGAAAGTTGACAATCTTAATGAACAAAATCTTCCTATAAATTGGTATATGATGCATGATCAAAAAGTCCTTGTTTACAAGGCATAGAAAAGAACTTTTTACGGACTTAACCTATCTGTAAACAATCATTTTGAATTAAGAAGTCTAAGTAAATTGTGGCGCAAGTAATCAACTTATCTAAAGACTAAAAAGACAATCTATTAAACAAAGATAACCGTGGCACGCTCAGATCTCCCTTAGTTTTGATTGTGAGCCTAAATGCCTACCAAAGGCCCCACAAAGGCACCTTTCAAACTAACTCCAAACTCATGATTCAGAAAAATAAACGGCAAACCTTGTCTATCAGGCAAGACAAGAGGAGTTATGCGCAGGACATTCTAGCCCGAGCAGCAAGCACTCTCTTATTTTCTCGCTTGCTTTCTCTATCCTTGAAGTTGTGCAAGGCCGTACCATCGATAGGACCTCACCTTTAACCAAACATGCGATCTGTATTGAACAAAATTTGTTAAAAAGTTAATTTTGATTTCCCAAAAGAAAAAAAGGGAATTAAGAGACTCTAAAAATCCAAGCAAGTAAAAAAATAAAAAAATAAAAAATAAAAAAAACCCTTAGCGATACGAGTGAAATTTTATTGATAACGAAAAAAAGAAATTACACCTAATCAGGGGGGACATAAACCTTACCCCTTATAATACAAAGAAAAGAAGAAAAAGAACATAAAAAAGGGTGAAATAAACCTTATCCCTCCAGAAACGAAAACATAAAAGGCACAAGTAAAAGAGAATGGGACGTGAAATCTAATCTCTCTGAAGCCAAACCAAAAAGGTCAAAACCAAGCCCACTTATTGTAAGATACCAGCACCACACATAATAGTACAACAGACACTACCAACAGCTGCAACATGAGTTTCATTAAGGACCAAGTCCTCTGACCCCTCCAACCTCTTTGGGCTATATTAACTGCCTCCTCCTCTTGCTAAATGTCTCTACAAACCATTCATGCTTCTTGTCTGCAAAAGCGTCCCCGGCAACGAATCCGACAATTAGACCACAAAAAACTCTTGGAAGAACCATGTACCAATCAAACTTAAATGCAATTTCAGGGTCTTCATCTTCTTCAAAGATCGAAGGTGGTGACGATGTTGAGCTCTCTGAATCCTTGCATTTCTTTGACAGAGGTTTTCCACACAAACCCGAGTTTCCTTGGTATGAATCTTCCCAAAATATATTAAATTGTTGGCCAAGTGGTATAGGTCCCCAAAGATGGTCATGGGATACATTGAAATACACAAGGAAATTGGTTGCGCCAAATTACTGGGGATACTTCCTGATAGCTGGTTTCCAGAGAGATCCAATGATTCAAGAGCTGTCAAGTTCCCAAGAGATGAGGGTATGAGACCACTGAGAGTGTTGTTGGAGAGGTTCAGCAAATGAAGGTCTCTTAGTTTCCCAATGATACCTGCTGGAATCTCTCCTTCAAATCTATTGCTTGATAGATCTATAAGTCTCAGAAGATAAGGGGTCTTCAAATATTTCAACTCAGCTCCTTTGGCAAGAATTGTGATCTTGTATTGATAGATATAAGTGGCATTAGTTGCGTTGGTTGAAGATACTTCAAAATAAGTTTGATTGGTTTCATTAACAAATTTCACGAAATTCCAGTTCTCCAAGTAGTTAGAGGGCAACATACCGGAAAAACCATTGTGAGATAGATAAATGATGCATAAGTTTGGGAACTCATGGTTACTTGAAGGCTTCCCAATTATTCCACGAAATTCATTATAAAGCAAAATGAGAGCCTTTAACACTGGCAGTTCCCCTAACCAAGATGAAAAGATGTCTCTGATGTAATTATTTCCGAGATTAAGAAACTCCAACCGAGTGCAATGAGCCATAGATCTTGGTTACTTGGTACCTTCCCCTGCAAATGATTGTCGCTTAAATCTACCATTCTCAAACTATTTTTGTTTGGACATAGTTGAGGAATATCTCCATTAAAAGAATTGTTCGACAAGTTGAGTATTTCCAAAGCACTAGAGTTCCCCAAACATTGTGGAAGCATACCACTTAGGTTGTTGTCCGCCAAATCAAGAACTTGTACATTCATGCTGCAGAATAGTGGCGAAATATCACCATTATAATCATTGTTTGCAACATCATAAGTTATGATTGATTGGGGTGGAATTGGCAGTGAACCTTGTAACAAGTTAGACCTTACTGCAAAAAACACCAGATTTTTCCATGTAAGAATGGGTGGATTTCGGTCAAATGACTCGAGACCTGTTAAGACGTTATGCGACAGAGCCAGATTCTTCAGAGTTTTTCTAGATGTATTCCAGAACCATTTTGGTATTTGGCCATGAATCCTGTTGTTAGAAGAGTTTAGGTCGTACAACTCGTCCTGGTTTTTTGAAAACTCTGGAAACTCTGTTAAGTTGCATGAAACCAACCTCATAATTTGAAACTTTGGAAGAGTAGCATTCAAATTGGGTTTAATTTGCAGAGAAAGTTGGTTGGACGATAATCGAAGTTTCTTTAAATTTTTGAGGTTCGAAAACTGATCAAATTCAACTAATTCCCTCAACTTATTAAATGAAAGGTCTAGATAAGTTAATTGGGCCAAATTTCTTGCAACTCAATATGAGATTTGACCAGTTAGTTTTTTAGTACCCAAGTTTAGTTGCATAAGTTATGTCAAGTTAGCAAGAAAACATGGGAATTTTCCCATTGAGTTGGTAGGCTCAAGGCCCAAATGATCAAGTGCAGTTAACTTTCCAACCCAAGACTAGGATTAATCAGAGAGTAAAGATTGGTATTTTGTTGTGAAAATTTCTTTTCCAGGCCAATACAATGGATCATAAAATGAAGAAATGTCAAGGTAAAAGAGCTGAGTAAGGTTTCTAAGTGAAGATGGAACATGGGGATCAAATTACAACGATAGATGCCAAATACAGTTAAGGAACGAAGATTTCCAATAGACATAGGCAGTGGACCAGAGAAACTTGCTTCCCCAACGCTCAATTTCTTGAAGGAATCGTTCCTGTTGAAGTTAAGAAAATAACCTGTTAGCTTAAAGTCCTTGTGAACATAAAGAACCTCTGAGTTTGGTAGATGGAAAACACCAATAGGGAACTCCCCATATAACCCACAGTGGGGAAGTTTGAGAGATGTGAGGGATGATGTATTGACAAAGTTATCAGGAAAAGTGGAGAATATTTCTACCCAACCAGATGAAGTTGTTTTAAGTGGGGTCATGTTTTGGACTAGGATTCTTAGACTGGGTTTTATCAATGTTATATAGACACCATATCGAGTGAAAAATTTATCATTGTATGACGAATCAAGGAAAGATAACTTTGATAGCTTCGAAATTTCAGATGGAATCTGGCCCGAAAATAAGGACTATGAAAGTTTGAGATAGGTTAGACTCGTAAGGTCACAACCTAATCTTTATGGTATTTGAGACAAATTAAAGTTGTTATCCGAGAGATCAAGTCTCTCTGCAAGTGAACAAGTTGGAAGAGGCTGCTGTTGGAGTTGATAGAACAATAGTGACAGCTGTTGCCGAGTTCAAGAAATATATCAAAGAATTATCTCATTTCTTGCTCTCTCTCTCTCTCTCTCTCTAAACTTGTCTCTCTACTTCTTCGATCATACTGTCACCATTGATGAACTTGAAACTTAGTTCACTGCATTTCTACATGGTATGCTCGCCGGCAATAGGGAATTCTCTTCAATTCTGACTTGTTATGCTTCCGCTACCTTCTTTGATTCTGTTTGTGGTATGCAATCTTCCCCGATCTTTCTATGTTTAGCTGAATCTTGCTCCGATTGAAATCTAGAATCTTGAATAATGCGTTCAAAGATGTCTTCCTTCTGCCTCAAATTTTTGCACCAATTTGTCCTCTGAATAGTTGTTTTTCTTACAAATTAATCAAGAAATAGTCTCTATCTGCAACCCTAATTTCTTCAAGAATTCAAGAAAATATGATTACTGATGCGCAATTACAACTAGTACAGTCTCCAATTACAAGTTTGGTTCCGAATGTCTCTACTTCTGTTACTGTGAAGTTGGATGATACGAATTATTTGGTCTGGCATTATCAATTACTATTGCTACTTGAAAGCCATGGTATTCTTGGATTTGTGGATGGTACAAAAATGTGTCCTTCTCGATCTGTTGAAGATTCAGACAACGAAAGTGTTGAAACTGAGAATTAGCAGATATGGAAAATGCATGATCGAGCATTGATAAAATTAATCATTGCTACTCTTTCTCCTACTGCTATGTCATGTATAGTTGGTCGCACTAGTGCACATGAGATGTGGATGAGTCTGAGAGATAGGTTCTCTACAGTCACAAAAGCTAGTATTTTTTAGATGAAACTTAAGTTGCAAAACATTCAAAAAGGTTCTGACTCCATTTCTCAGTATTTACATAGAATTAAGGATGTTTGTGATCACATGTCAGTTGCTGGTGTCTCTTTTGAGGATGATGACATAGTGATTCTTGCATTGAAATGTTTACCCTCTAAATATAACACCTTCAGGACAGTGATTCGAGGCAGAGAAAATGTCATTTCACTCAAGGACTTCAAAGCTCAGTTACTTGCTGAAGAGGTTACAATTGAGAATAATCAACTTTCTAGTTCTTTTGTAATTGCAATGCTTGCCAAGGATAATGATTTAAAGGGCAAACGTCTTATGCTTGAAGAAAGCTCCTTTCACAGTAACGGCTCATCTCAGACTTCATCAGCTCAATATCATCATGGTGGTTTCAATGGACTCATTCTGACAACTACAAAACCAATGGTACTACCTATAATTCTGGAGGCTACATGGGTTTTATTAACTATAGAGGTAGAGCACGAGGAAGAAACAATTATGGTCATAATCCTAGAATCTCTGGAAATAATAGCCTTGGCATTCTTGGACCTGCTAATCCCCATATGTCCACTTGCTCAGAGCATGGGAATGATGTTCCTACTTGCCAGATATGTAACAAAAGGGGTCACATTGCTTCTGATTGCTTTCAAAGGCACTATTCTACAACTGTGGCATCTTCTCCCATGCAATGTCAAATTTGCTGGAAATTTGGACATTCTGCAATACAATGTTGTCACAAGGCAAGCTTCTCCTACGAAGGAAGATCACCACCATCAACATTAATTGCAATGCATGCCAATTATCAACCGTCAGCACCTCAGGAGCAATTTTGGATAGCTAACACAGGTGCCACCTCTTACATGACTTCTGAATTGAGCAATCTCAACATGGCTACTCCATTCATTGGTGCTGATACTATAACCATTGCTAGTGGTTCAGGTTTGCCAATATCTCATACTGGCAGTTCAACTTTACATGTCCTTAAATATGCATTTTAGTTAAAAGAAATATTGCATGTTCCTCAACTCTCTTAACATTTGTTGTCAGTCTATAAGTTGTGTAAAGACAACAAATATTGATTTATCTGTGATGAATTTTTCTTCTGGATTTAGGACAAGATCACGGGAACAATACTCCTCAAGGGACTGTGTAGAGATGGCTTGTACCCGATCCCATTTCATATACCTCAACATATACTTACTCAAGCATATGAAGCATCTCACTCACTCAAACAACACCAACACTGCTTTCTTGGTCATCAAGTCAATACAAGTATGTGGCACAACAGATTGGGGAATCCTTCCAATGTTGTTGTTTCAACAATGTTGCACCAATCACAGATACCATTCTCTTTTGATCAACCAAAGCATGTGTGTGTCTCTTGTTTAGAAGGAAAAATTACTAAGCTTTCATTTCTTTTTCCTACAAATAAAACTGTAAAACCTTTAAAGGTTTTACATAGTGATGTGTGGGGACCATCACCAATTGTATTAGTTGAAGGTTACAAATTCTATGTTACTTTCATTGATGAATGTACCAAGTTTACCTAGATATTTCCTTTAATGAATAAAAGTGTGGTGCTTTAAACATTTGTGCATTTTCATGTTGTTCTGTTAACCCAATTTTCTGCAACTGTTAAAAATTTTCAAAGTGATGGTGGTGGTGAATATTGTACTAAATTCCAACAGTTTTTGCTAGACAAAGGTATTATACGTCAAAGATCATGCCCTTATACACCTGAACAAAATTGCCTTGCTGAAAGAAAACACAGGCATATTGTTGAAACTACATTAACCCTACTAAGTACTGCACAATTGCTATCTCAATTCTGGTTTCATGCATATGCAAACATTGTATACTTGATCAACAGAATGCATTGTCACACATTGTCTATGAAATCTCCATACACTTGTCTATTTGATAAGCCTCGTGTTTTGACACATTTAAAAGTGTTTGGTTGTAGCTGTTATCCATTGTTAAATCCTTACAATACCAATAAACATCAATCCAATACAATTCAATATGTCTTTTTAGGGTATGCAGGTCAATACAAAGGTTATATTTGTTTCAACCCAATTTCAGGCAGGTTTTATGTCTCAAGACATGTCATTTTTTATGAAACTAATTTTATATTGATTTTTTTTTATAGAGATAATAAGACAAAAAACAATAGAAATAAAAAATATTGACGTGGCTTAACCGTGACCGCACAAATAGGAGGGGATGGGAAGGGCACCCAAATAGGAGGGTAGACAATCTGCCTCTTTTTTTCCCATCCTTTCTTCTCAGTGAACTTCAATGAATTATGCATGGGTATTTTTTTTAGTATAATGATATTTTACATTAAGGAAATGAAGAATTCGGTTAAGCCACACAATGAGCAACCTAATTTGATATCAAATTTGTTATCTACAAGATTCGAATATAAAACATCTCACTCAAATAGAGTAATCACTCATTTTAGTGATGTAATTACATCGCTCACAATATTTAATTTACCTATTATCTAACATAAAGGGTATTATTACCACTATAAGACTTTGGGATTTACTATTTTCATATCTTAATAGATAGGGTGTTTGGTTCTATCCATGCATTCTAGATTCAAAACTCCCCTCTCCCAAATTATTATAATACTTTCGAGCCCTTCCCTTCCTCTTACTAATAATTTATTTTTGTTTTTTTACTATTTACACTTAATAATTATCTGTTCTTACCTAGCAAAATTCCAGGTTTCCATTTTACCCTTTTAAAGAATAAAGAGAGAGATATATATATATAATATAAAAAAAATATAAAAAAGAAAACTTAAAACAGTAGTCGGAGCTCTCACTGGAATCTGTGACTCCCAACTACCTCCTTTCCCATCCTCTTCCATCTCCGTTCTGGTCCAACGCGTGGACCCACTTTTACGGCTTAGTCTTGAACCAAATTGCACGCCTTTCACTATCGCTGCAAGCATTCTCGTAAAGGGATTAGTGTGGAACCATATTTTTGCTACTAATTAATTAAGGCTTATAGCCTTGAACCAAATTATACGCCTTTGATTATCACCACAAAGAGCTGCCAAAGACCATTTCTGTAAATTTGAAGTTGGATGATAAATTATAGGGAGTTAAGATAGATGAAAGTGTAGAGGTTTTTCTCTTGTAAATGAGGTCTTACGATCGATTTTCACCAAATAACCAAATGCAAATTTGAACTACATTATTGTTAGCAGATTATGAGGCTTAGCCCATCATCTTCCTTTAGTATAAATAATATCGATTGTTAAAAAAAAAAATAGGTGAAGGTGAGTCTGGCACATCTCTGTAGTTAGAAGGGAGTGATGCACAAACAAATTTGTTTCAAAACTTAGTAATGCCCTTGTGTATTTCTAATCCTCGCACCCTTACATCCTACCGTTACATATCAATTTTGAACGTATCTTGAGATTGGGGCGAGAGAAAAAGTGTATGTGCAAATGAAGAACAATGAATGATGTTGTCGAGGAAAAAACAAAACAATACAAGGTATAGAAAACAAGTTAAATCACGAAGATTCCATGACTTTTTCTTCCTTGATGATTAAGTTGTTTTTCGCCCCCGTGTAATAAAAGGAAGAGGAACTGAACTCCATTTATAGTCACAACTCCTCATTGCTTTCTTTTGATAAGCTTAAAGCTAGGTGAGTGGTTACAAATAATGTTGATCTTTAAAGAAAAATAAAAACATTAGACCCTAGCCTATAAAATTAAAATTTTCGTTGGAGATGACTCTTATGCCAACAAAATTTTTCTTTATCGATTTAAAATTTGTTGGCAAAATGATATTTTCTAGTGTGTCTTTCCATCTCTATCTCTCATATCATCAAATCCTACCCTTTTAGAG